TTGTCAGGAGGGCGTTCACAGAAGGTGTTTGAGCACTGGAGTGTCTGTTGTAAGCGCTCAGAGCTGGATAGGTTCTTAGAGACCCATCCATTCATTTATCTATTTACTCATCAAAGGCGGGGGGGGGGGGGGGGGGGGGGGGTGCACCACGTGGTCTTTGCCCTTGTGGAGTTTATAGTCACAGGGCAGCCAACTGTTACTAAATAAACAAGAGCCGAGTTTATATGAGTGAGTGTGTTCTGGAAGTCATGGTAGGTATCCTGGAGGAAATGAAAGATGAGAGATGTTAACTCGGGGAGAGGTGGGGGAGACTGGTGTCTGAAGGGGAGGGAGTCAGGCCGTTAAGAGTCCGGTGGGTCCTTAATGGAGGTACACAGAGGTGCAGACGTTCCTGGAAGGGAGCAGGCTGTGCACAGGCCTGGCCCTGAGAGAGAATTAAGAGCCCAAACACGCTCTAGAACATTCCATAGTGCACTTGCATTTGCTTCGGGCTGCCTCCCCACGCAGCTTGAGCTCCATGAGGGCAGAAATCTCTCCCAGTTTTGTTTCCTGCAGTATCCCCAGCTTTTACCCTGTTACTTGGCACATAGTAGGTCCTCATGAAATGTTGGTTGAATGAATTAACGAGCAAGGGAATCATAGAGACTCAAGAGCACCTTGGTGATGGGTCTGTTGAGGACCTAAGGCTGAGGGAAGGGGTTGAGGGGCACATACATGGGGCCTGGAGGCCCTGTTGAGGCATCTGGTCTTTTTTTTTCTTTTCTTCCAGCCATGCTGACTGGCACGTGGGATCTTAGTTTCTTGACCAGGGATAGAACCCGAGCCTCCTGCATTTGGAAGTGTGGAGACTTAACCACTGAACCACTAGGGAAATCCCTGAGGCATCTGTTCTTCACCTCAAGAGCAACAGGGAGGCATCTAAAGCATTTGAGCAAGAAGGTGATGTGTGTGCTATGTCGCTTCAGTCCTGTTGGACTCTTTGGGACCCTGTAGACAATAGCCCGCCAGGCTCCTCTGTCCATGGGATTCTCCAGGCAAGAATATTGCAGTGGGTTGCCAGGCCCCTCCTCCAGGGGATCTTCCCGACCCAGGGATCGAATCCGTGTCTCTTGCGACTCTTGCACTGACAGTCAGGTTGTTTACTACTAGTGCCCGCCGGGAAGATGATAGCCTGTGAATGCTAAGATCGTTACGAGGAACAGAACACTCTGGCTCTTGTATGAGGAGGAAATCAGAGGGCAGAGTGGGGTGGGAACTGACATCAGGAGGCGGCTGCATTCGCGAACGAGAGAAGAGGTGGCTCTCAAGGCCTCACGCAGTCTGACCGGTCGCTCCTCTGGTCTCACCTCCCTCCACAGTGGCCCCGTTGCTGCCAAACGCCCCACCCGGCCTTGCCTCAAGGCCTTTGCACTCTGTTCCTGCTGCCTGGCATGGTTTTCTCTAAGAGGTGCCCACAGCTCACACCTGGACTCAAAATGCTCAATCCGGGATTTCCCTGGCCATCCAGTGATTAGAACTCTGTGTTTCCACTGCAGGGGTCACAGGTTCGATCCCTGAGTCAGGAAGATGCCCTAGAGAAGGAAATGGCAACCCACTCCAGTATTCTTGCCTGGAGAATCCCACGGACAGAGGCGACTGGAGGCTTACAGTCCATGGGGTCTCAAAGAGTTGGACACGACTGAAATGACTGAACATACACGCACTTTCCCAAAGCCCACCCTCGGGCACCCTGTTTGAAACTGCACCCAGCCCAACAGTCCCATTCTCCCTTATCCTGCCCTCCTTCTGCTTTCGTGTCCCCAGTCACACTCTTTATTTACTGTTTAGTTGCTAAGTTGTGTCCAACTCTTTGCAACCCCATGGACTGTAGCCTGCCAGGCTCCTCTGTCCATGGGATTTCCCAGGCGAGAATACTGGAGTGGGTTGCCATTTCCTTCTCCAGGGGATCTTCCTGACCCAGGGATCAAACCTGTCTTCCACTTTGGCAGGCAGATTCTTTACCACTGAGCCACCTGGGAAGCCTGACCACACTCTAGAACATTCCACAGTGCACTTGCATTTGCTTCAGGCTGCCTCCCCATGCAACTTGAGCTCCATGAGGGCAGAAATCTCTCCCAGTCTTGATTCCTGCAGTATCCCCAGCTTTTACTCTGTTACCCAGCACATAATAGGTCCTCATGAAATGTTGGTTGAATGAATTAATGAGCGAGGGACTTGTAGAGATTTAAGAGCACCTTGGTGATGGGTCTGTTGAGGACCTGAGGGGGAGTCTCTGGAAGGCCACCCAGATCTCCTGAGACTCTGTTTTGAGAGGCTGAGTGGGAGTGGACCCCACGTCAGAGACTGGGGGCCAGGGATGGGGGCAGGTTTGGGGGATCCAACACTTAAGTTTTGCCCTTGAGACAGAGATGGAAATGCCTGCAGGTGGCAGGTCAGGAGCTCCACAGGGGGTGCCCGAGGGAGACTTAGGAGGTGCCCGTGGAAACCCAGGGAAGTGGGGCTCCCATGGCAGAGCAGGGAGGCAAGGAGCGGACCCAGGAACCCCAACATTTAGGGGAAATGGAATCAGGCCAGGATGAGTGCTACAGTGCGTCCACTGAGTGAGCCAGGCTCTCTCAGATCGGGTTGTCTGGAGGGAGGGAGGGAGGCCCAGAGGTCAGGCTGATAAGAGACTAGCAGGTCCTTGATGTAGCCACACAGAGGCGTAGGTGACCTTAGTGGAGGGCTGGGGGAGGATGCCAGCCAAGGAGTGCATGTGAGGGTGGAACAGGGGCCACAGCAGTGCGGGACAAATATTTATTGAACACTAGCTGTGTGCCCAGTGCTGAGATGAGGTGGCGAATAAGCCTGGCTCAGTGCCCATGGACCTCAGCTTTCCAGGGTTGGGGAGAGGAGGGAGTTAAATGGTTGGGGGCCCAGGGATAGGCAGGTTGCAGTTTTAAATAGAATGGTAGGGACTTCCCTGGTGGTGCAGTAGTTAAGTCTCGGTGCTTCCTCCATAGGGGTGTGGGTTCAATCCCTGGTCGGGGAACTGAGATATGAGGTGCTGCCAAAAAAGAAAGTCACAGTGTGTTGAATGTATATGTGAATGGCCACTTAGGATTAGTAAGCCAAATTCCTACAGAACTGGACACCTAGCCATCCTTTAAAAAAAAAAAATGATGTTTTAAATAGCATGGTCAGGGAAAGCTCACTGAGGAGGTGACATTTACACTGAAGTTGCTGAGGGGATAGGATCTCTCCTTTCAGCCCTGACCTGAATGTCCCATGTCCTCAGAAACCCTTCAGTCCTGGGCAAACTGGGGAGAGTTGGTCACCCTAGGAGTAAGTCACATGCTATTCAGGAAAAACATTCCAGGCAGAGAGAATAGCAGGTGCAGAGGTCCTGAGGTTGGAACACTTGGGGGAGTATCTGAAGATAACAGCACTGAGGATGGGGCAGAGGCTGTTTTGTGAGGGAGTCGAGGTCTGCAAGAGCTGGTGGGGTGATCCGGAGAGGGAACTAGCTTCCCATTCTGAGTATCCTCTGGGGGGAGCCACCTTGTACCCATTAATCAATCTTTTGTGATAGGAATGGGCCTTGCCCAAGGCAAGCGAAGGGAGGGATAGAATTGGAATTTACTCAAGGTCCTGCATGACTGAAGAGCAGAGAGACAGGCTGGCAGCTTACTCCGCTTTCTGTCTCCCCAGCTCGCCCTCCCTCACCTGCGCAAGAGCCAGGGAAATGTCATCAACATCTCCAGCCTGGTCGGGGCGATAGGCCAATCCCAGGCGGTTCCCTACGTGGCCACCAAGGTACACCGCTGAGAGACCCGCCCCTTCCTGCAGGCGCCCCAGGCCTGACGTATGGCCTGAGGCATGGCCACCTGGCCTTCCAGGAAACAGAGCCTGGTGCAGCCAGATGAGACCTGCAGGGAGAGCGTGACTTCCCTCTTCCGATGCCCCTGCTTGCCGCCCCCTGGTTGGCGGCATGCAGGCTAGGTCGCACACTAGGTCGCTCAGTCGTGTCTGACTCTTTGGGACCCTGTGGACAATAGCCCGCCAGGCTCCTCTGTCCATGGGATTCTCCAGGCAAGATTATTGCAGTGGGTTGCCAGGCCCCTCCTCCAGGGGATCTTCCCGACCCAGGGATCGAATCCGTGTCTCTTGCGACTCCTGTACTGGCAGGCAGGTTGTTTACTACTAGTGCCTGCCAGGAAGATGATAGCCCGTGAATACTAAGATCGTTACGAGGAACAGAACACTCTGGCTCTTGTATGAGGAGGAAATCAGAGGGCAGAGTGGGGTGGGAACTGACATCAGGAGGCGGCTGATTTGGGACCCTGTGGACAATAGCCCGCCAGGCTCCTCTGTCCATGGGATTCTCCAGGCAAGAATATTGCAGTGGGTTGCCATGCCCTCCTTCAGGGGTGGGAGGAGACGGCAGAAGGAACCTCATCTCCTCCAGTCTGAACTTTCTCTGTGCCCCGTCTTCTGCAGGGGGCAGTGACAGCCTTGACCAAAGCCTTGGCCCTGGATGAGAGTCAATATGGCGTCCGTGTCAACTGGTGAGCAGCTCTACGTGGGTGGAGAGCCTCTTGGGGGAGTGAGCCCAAGGGGCAGTGTGTGCATTGGACTGCCCTGACCCCATGTCCTTCCCCACCCCAGCATCTCCCCTGGAAACATCTGGACCCCTCTGTGGGAAGAGCTAGCGGCCTCAACACCTGACCCCACTGCTACAATCCGAGAGGGCACACTGGCCCAGGTAGGAGTGGGGGCCGGGTTGAGGCGGTGTGGGGGTGGTCAGGCGGGGCTCCTCCTGATTCTCCTTCCCTCCTTGTCCCTCCCCAGCCCCTGGGCCGCATGGGCCAGCCAGCTGAGGTGGCGGCTGCTGCTGTCTTCTTGGCCTCCGAAGCCAGCTTCTGCACGGGGACTGAGCTGCTCGTGACTGGGGGTGCAGAGCTGGGGTATGGGCGCAAGGCAGGCCAGGCCGCCCCGACAGAGGCCCCCACCACCCCTTCCTGATCCCCCACATTTCCACCTGGGCCTCCCTGACGAGGGTTCTCCCACCCCAAACTCAGTCTCCCAAATTCCAGTTTCCACCCTCTGCCTCTCAGGTGCAGCACTCCACCCACCCCAGCCCCGACTGCAAACATTCAGCCCACTCACCAATGTGCCAAACCACCCCCAAAGCTTCCCATAAAAGCACTTTGCCACCAGGAGGAGGAGGGCATCACTGCATTTATTTCTGGCCCTTTATGAGTCCTACCATGCCAGGACCCAGTCGCCCGACCCCGCCCCACCCAGCTCCCACGCATTCTCACGCGTGGCGTCTCCCTGCAGGAGACTGCAGCCCAGGGCTCCTGAGAAAAGTATTGCAGGTCGGCTTCACCGGCGAGCTAATTAAAAAGGCCCGCAAAGGAGAGTCAGTTAAGCTCTCATTAGGAGATAATGGAGGGAGTTAAGCAAACAGGCCTCCACCTTATTCTTGGCCCTTAGGGAAAAGGAGCTGTGACCTCGTTTGCAGCTGAGTAGGAGGCTGGCCAGCACCAAAAATAATGAGGGAAGAGAAAGCTAGGGGGTTGACACTGCCAGGTCAGAGGGAGAAAGGGCTAGGATCTGGACTCCAGGGTTTCAGGAGGAGGAAACTAGGGTGTGTGGACTCCCCGGCTGGGAGGGAGCGGAGTCTGGCCTCCCCCTCAGATGGGCGAGGGGCCCTATCCGGGGTAAGTCCCCGGTGCGGAGGTGGGGCTGCATCGCTGCAGCGGGATTGGCCGAGGCGGGGGTGTGTGCGGCAATCGCTGATTGGCCGCGGCAGAGGCGGGGAGCCGCCTGGACGCCGCACCCTTGCGGCTCCAGCCTAGGTGGTAGGGGAGGAAGACTGGGCAGGTGGAAAGGAAAACTAGGAGACACCCTGCCGGGAAGGACTCAGAATTTGACTGCCCGGGCCTGTGGCTTTTCGTGCTGGGGAACCAGAATTTGGGAGCAAAATGTCTCAGGGTAGAGTGACCTAAAGAGCAGAGTTTGAGGCTACAACAGGAACAATAGTTTGGTGTCACAGTAACCTGGATGCAGGCGATGGGGTAACTTCGACCACGGAAGGGGGGGGGGAGGGGGGAGCTGGTGCGCACGGTGACCTCGGGGCACGATATAGGGAACACTGAAACAGGTTTGAATTGCTAGCGATTAGAGAGATCCTGAGCGGCTGTAGGGCTTCCCAAGTGGCTCAGTGGGTAAATAAGAAACGGGTTCAATCCCTGCTGAGTCGGGAAGGAGGAGGGCATGGCAACCCACTCCAGTATTCCTGCCAGGAAAATCCCAGGGACAAGAGTCGGACACAACGGAAGCAACTGAGCGTGCACGCGCTCAGCAGGGACTGTAATCGACTGTCTGCCTCTGGGGGTCATGAAATCGGGGAGACAGTCTTGAAGGGGCGTAACCAGGGAATCCTGCCTAGAGGCTGCTCACTGGAGCTCATTGATGAACTGGGGAACTGAACATTTCCAGGCGTCCCTGATGAAAAGGGCTGGAAGGAGGCATGGTAAACCCTGGGTGTTTCTCTCTTTAAAAAGTTACAAAGAGTACACGTATATCTTCTCGTTGGAAAGGAAACCTATATTCAAACTGGTAAGTATCCGGTCAGAGTGAAGCTTCCCCTTTATCCCTATCTGCCCCTTCAAAAGTGTATTTTTACATAACATCTGCGCCCGCCGATCTTAACTGCGTGGTTTTTCTTTTCACCAAGAATCGCGATATGTGAAGATTTCTGCTCCCCACTCCTCCCTTCTTTTCCCTTTAGCTCTCCACCACGGTACTGTACCTATTAAAATGCATTTCTGAAAACCGCTGAATGCACACTCTAGCGTCCGGGCTGGAAGGAGAGTGTGTTTCAAGTTACTCCCTTCTTCTCGCGGGGTCTAGCGCATGCGCTCTACGGTAGGGCCCTGCTCCCCGCGGGCGCCCTGCAACTGCGAAGGCCAGGCCCGCCTGGGGTGCTAGGCTGACAAACCATCCCACAGAAGGAGGCGTGAGCGGGGCGGGGCCGGAACGTCTTTATCCGGAGCCGCGCCCTGGGCAGGCACAGATACCAGCCGCAAAGACCATGGCTGCAGCGGCATTGAGGCAGGTGGGTTCGCGGCCGGGGTCTGGGGAGCTCTTAGGGGAGGCGCACTTCCGGGTGGACCACTCGCCGGTGGCGCATCCGGTGGGGCGCCGGTCCTCCCGCATTCAGGTTCCGCTGCAGGGAGCCAAGGAGGAGGGGGCCCCTTAGAAAGGAGAACGAGGCCTTAATGGGGATGAAGGGAGAGAAGTAATCGGTGGGAAGGGGGACCCAGGTGGGACTTCTAGGGATGGATATATGGAAGAGAAGACGGCAATGGGAGAAGCATGGGCCTGGGGCGACAGGATGGATTAGGAGGGAGGAATCAGCCTTTGGGGGCGACAGGAGAAGATTCTCAGAACCTCTAGGGGTGGGAGCAAGATGAAGGCAGAGTTCAGTTTCAGGTCTGGACTGGGACTAGGACCCAAGGCCCTATTTTCTTGGCACTAAAGATAGAGGTAGAATGTTGTGTCCCGGAAACCCCTTATCTGAAACTGCGCCAGGGTTGAAAACAGAGTTAATACCTCATTGTCATAAACAGAGATTCTCCTGCCAAGAGTGGGACCCTCCATTCTTATTGATACATGTCAACAGGCAGACCTTCAGAGAGCCTGTGATTTGAGGGAACAAGGTTTCTCACTGAGGAAGGAAACAATAACAACTCTAAGAAGGGAGTCTTTATAACCCTTGACAGCTGCAGCTTAAAGTTGGGAAAAATGGTTCCTGTTAACTTTGTACCTGACTTTATATGGGACTCTTAGCTTGATGGATAGCAGGACAGATGTTTCCTTTCTGAGTTGAGACGGAGACCAGCCTGGGCTGTGTCTGGGACGATCTTGGCTTTATGATGACACTCCTGTGCCGTGGCGGTAGGACAGCCTTGGGCTGTGAGTGCTGGGGTCAGTGGAGATTCCATCATATTATAGAGCCCTTCCCTGTGCATACCCCACCCCAACTCCAACCATTTCTCATTTCCTCATTCAGACCCAGTCCTTTTTACACCTCTATGTTCCTAAAGCCCAGCGATCATCTGAGATCTTGGGGCCCAGTCCCCCAATTGTTTGGGGTATCAGGTGGTGGGCACCTTCCCTGAGGGGAGGTGAGAACCCTGCCCCCAGAAAAATATCCTGGGAGGATGAAGGCAGCTTCTCCCAGTGTGACACTGTCTCTGTGGCCAGTACAGATTTATAATCTCCTGGAAACAGTGCCCGGCGCCTTTTCTCTGCCTGTGGGTGGGTTTTCCTGCTCCTCCTCTCTGTCTCTCCTGGATATCTCTGTCTCCAAACATCGCTGAGACTGCTTCTCTCCAGGGATTGGCATCGCTCTGTCTCTGCAAGTCTCTCCTCATTTCCCTCGGTCTCCCTTTCACTTTGTGCTGTCCCCCGAAGTTGGGTCTTGGTCTATTTCTCTCCTTTTTCCTGTTCTCTCTCTTATGGCTTCAGTTTATCTTGCCTTCGGTATTTCTTTTTTTTCTTGATTTCTCCAGGCTTTACCATGCCTGAATTTCCCTCCCTCGTGTGTCTTGTCTCAGTCTCTCTCTCTATATGGTGGTGGTGGTGGTTTAGTCACCAAGCTGTGTCCAACTCTTGCAACCCCATGGACTGTAGCCTGCCAGGCTTCTCTGTCCATGGGATGTCCCAGGCCAGAATACTGGAGTGGGTTGCCATTTCCCCCTCCAGGGGATTTTCCCTTCTCTGTGTATGAAAGTGAAAGTGTTAGCTGCTCAGTCATGTCCAATTCTTCTTAACCCCCAGACTATAGCCCTCCAGGCTCCCCTGTCCATGGGATTCTCCAGGCAAGAATACTGGAGTGGGTTGCCATTCCCTTCTCCAGGGGATCTTCTTGATTCAGGGGTTAAACCCAAGTCTCCTGTACTGACAGGCAGACTCTTTGTCGCTGAGCCCCGCTATGATCATATCTAATTTGACTTCCCTTGGCCTTGGATCCCTGTTCCTTAATGTCTGTGTCTTTTACTTCCTTGTCTCTTATTTCTTCTTATTCTTCCTCTTCTCTACTTTTTTCCTTTCTGCCTTCCTCTGAGGGCTGCTTTCTTGTCCACCTGCTGCCTGCCTCTGCCCTGCTGGTGGGTGTTATCTCCACACCACGGGTGTCTTGTCCGCCTCCTGGCCAGTAACCCGCCCCTGGCTTGGGCAGGCCACAGAGCGCCACCTAGAGGCCATGCTCAGGACCCACACTCCGATCATCCCAGAAGCTGTCTGGCCCTCATAACATTCAGGACCACTCCTCAGACTTCATGGCCTAGACTTTTAGTTCATTTCAGTCGCTCAGTCGTGTCCGACTCTTTGAGACCCCACAAATAGCAGCACACCAGGCCTCCCTGTCCATCACCAACTCCCAGAGATTACTCAAACTCATGTCTATCAAGTCGGTGATGCCATCCAACCATCTCATCCTCTGTTGTCCCCTTCTCCTCCTGCCCCCAGCCCCTCCCAGCATCAGGGTCTTTTGCAATGAGTCAGCTCTTCCCATCAGGTGGCCAAAGTATTGAAGTTTCAGCTTCAGCATCAGTCCTTCCAATGAACACCCAGGACTGATCTCCTTTAGGATGGACTGGTTGGATCTCCTTGCAGTCCAAGGATTTCCCATGAAGTGATGGGACCAGATGCCATGATCTTAGTTTTCTGAATGTTGAGCTTTAAGCCAACTTTTTCACTCTCTTGTTTCACTTTCATCAAGAGGCTTTTTAGTTCCTCTTCACTCTGCCATAAGGGCGGTGTCATCTGCATATCTGACTTTAGGACACTCCAAACCCACAGCCTGTGTCTCCCCATGACTCACCTACTGACCAGTGACTTCGGCCATTCACATCTGTTCTCAGTCCCCTCAGCTCACAGGGCAGGAGAAGGCTAGGCTGTTCCGTCTCCGCCAAACCTCATCATAGCTGCCTTCCCACCAGGCTGAGGAAAGAGGTATCGTGAGGTCAGAGACTGTGGGGGAGAAGCCATCCTGCTAGACCCAGACAGACCTTCTCTCTGCCTCTGGCCTCGGGCCGGACCACAGGGGAAGTGTTCATCCAAGCAGTGTCTCTTGATGACTGGGGTGGTCCCCAAGTGTATGTGGCTGCCCCTCAGTTCCCTACAGCCCTGGGAACCATAGGGAATTGGAATTGCTGGTGTCCAAGGTGTGGGACTGGGGCCTCAAGTAAGCTAAGCCCAGTTGATCTAATGCTCCCAAAGAGAAGGACTTGCAATTCTGGGTCTGAGGGTGGAGGGGGCTGGAGGTCTGGAACCTGAAGTGGGGGCCTGGAATCCGGGGTCTGTGATAGGAAGGGCTGGGGCCCTGGTTCCTGGGTCCTGGGGGAGTATGACCTATGGGCCCTCCACTTCTCTAACTCTTTTCAGGATCTGAGTTCCCCAGGGAGGCCTTCACTTACCTACACACCGTCTCTTGTCGTCCTCTGTCTGATCTGGGCTCAGGCAGGGCTGGGGCCAAAGTTCCCTGGGGTAGGAGGCACCTGTATTTGACTTTGCCCCAGCTTGGAGGAAGGGATGGGAGCCGATCCAGCTCTTTATTGAGACGGCCCTTGTGGGGGCAGGGAGTGGACTTGGCCTCCTTGGGGATCTCCTGCTCCACGCTGATCAGGACAGGGGAAGGGACCTGGCCAGGGCCGCGTGCTCTGTCTGGAAGCACTGGGCCTGGGACAGAGCATGCCCGAGGAACATCCTGAGTGCAGGCTGTGGAAAAGATGGGTGCCAGGACCCCCTGCTCTCTCTGTCTCCTGGTCTCATCACCTTTCTTACTTCTGTCCCCACCCCCAGATTTGGACCCCCAGATTTCTCCCTGTACCTTGGTTTCTGTGTGGTCCCAGAAGATATGCCTCATCCAGCTTCAAGGTGACAGTGGGGATTAGGGTTTGGATCTCAAGGAAGAGGGGCTGGGGGTCTGGACCAGTGGGTCTGAGGGAGGCAAGGGCTGGGAGTTAGCTTTGGGCCTCTCCAAAAGATCCAAGGTCCGAAGGTGAAGGTGGGTGGCAATGGGTTAGCCTAATTGCTTGCCATCAGGCCATGGGAAAGAGATGAAACTGCATGTCCCAGAAGCCTCCGGGACGACAGATCCCTCTTCTCTCTGGTTCTCAGCCCCAGGGATTCCTGGGAGTTGTAGTTTTTCAGATTGGAAGCTGTGGTCAGACTCTAGGACACCCGTCTTTTCTCAGGCTGCTGACCTGCAGCTAGAAATGACACAGGAGCCTCATAAGAAGCCTGACCCCAGCCAGCCTCTGCTGTTCGGGAATACATTCACCGACCACATGCTGATGGTGGAATGGAACCAGGAGAAGGGCTGGGGCCAGCCCCGAATCCAGCCCTTCCAGAACCTCACGCTGCACCCAGCCTGCTCCGCTCTGCACTACTCCCTGCAGGTGGCAGGGCGACTGCCCTCCCTCCCCCGTCTCTCCCTGCATCTCTTCCATCTTGCCGGGTCTCTTGCTGGGTCTACCTCCCTGGGTTTGCTTTTTGTGTGTTTCTCATTTCCACGCACTCCTCATCCATTTTTCTAAGGCTTGTCATGTTCCAGGTCCCATGTTGGGTGATGCTGGGTCCCCCGAGATGAGCAGACCCAGTTCCTTCATTTGAAAACCCCCACCCTTTGGTGACCACCCAGGGGGATCTGGACTCTGATGGAGGCAGCTGAGGTATTGTGGGAGGCCAGAAGAGGAACGCCCACCCTACCTCGGATTCGACTGAAAGTGGGGTATTTCCTGGCAAAGAGGGGAGCCAAGACTCTTAGAGGGAGAGACGACATCAGTATAAAGACACAGTCCAAAGAAGAGCCTGGTATACTGGGGAGGGACGCATGGGGTTGGAGGCTACGGGGAGGCTGAGGATGTCATCAGAACCTCAGAGGAGCTGGGGCCTTGTCAAGGGCACTGGGAACCCCGGGGGACTCTGAGCAGGCATGGAGCAGGTAGAGTAAGACCCCTCTCAGGCCATGTGAAGGATAAGCTGAGATCAGAGCCGGGGGGATCACCAGGAGGGGATGGGGCAGAGAGATTCAGGGATACCAGGGATTGACCGGCTGGGCTAGAGAAGGGCAGGGAGGGCTGAGGACCATGCCTGGGGGTTTGTATAGTCGGGTGACGTGTAGACCACGGGACCATGCTGACATGGGGACACAGGAGGAGGAGGATTGGCTTTGTGGGACTTGGTGAGGGCCCACGAGGAGAATGACCCAGAAGGCATTTGACCCAGTCTCCAGCTTCAAGCTATGGCTGGAAAGTAAAGTCTTTTCCAAAGAAGCTTTACTTGTTGCAAACTTTTGGAGGGACACACTGCAGTTCTAGTAGCTGGTTGGCAGTTTGAGTAATTTTTGTCCCTTACGGAGTCGTTCTCCAACGTTAGGCATGGTCTCCCCTGCCTTTTTTTTCTCTTTCTTTTCTTTTCAGAATTTTGATGGTTTTTCTTCCCACCTACTCTGGACATTTGATTCAAATGGATCAGTTCTGTGCAAAGGAGACCCAGCGTGGGAAACAGATACAAAGGACGGATGGTCAGGACGTGTCTACAGAGTTCCCCCCCCCCCCCACCCCCAGGAAGGTGGCTTTTGGAGATCACCATTTATTTGGCTCTCCTATCAGCCCAGCATGATAGGATGTCCTCCAACAGTACTTTTGAAGGACAAAAGTACTTTTGGGGACCTAATACTTTTTCTTTAGCAGAATGAGTGCAGATGAAGGGGTTGAGCATCCAAAAAACATGTCTTTCATGATATCTCTTACATAGGGCTTCCCAGGTGGCAGAGTGGTAAAGAATCCGCCTGCCAATGCAGGAGACGCAAGAGATGTGGGTTTGACCCCTGGGTTGGGAAGATCCCCTGGAGGAGGAAATGGCAACCCACCCCAGTATTCTTGCCTGGAGAATCCCCATGGACAGAGGAGGCTGGTGGGCTACAGTCCGTGGGGTCACAGAGTCGGACACGACCAAGTGACGAGCACTTTCATTTTTCCTTCTTTTAATGGAGCCTAGAGATTCTTGAGCCGCCCTTGAAGACCTTTGTCCTTTTCTGCTGCTGTGTAGTATTCCATGTTGGACACTTAGGTTGTTTCAGTCTTGTGCTATTATAAACAGCACTGCAGTAAACTAGCAAACACTTCACTTCCTTTAAAAGCAAATATATCTCTCCTTTCAATTTCTGGAACTATTGGCTCAAAAGGTGTATGTGCTTGTAACTGTTGAAAGATGTTGAGTCATCAATATCTTCTGTGACAGATGTTCTGATAGAAGCTGTGTTAGTTTCCACACTTGCCAGTCAGGCCTGTTTTCCCCTTACCCTGGATGACCCTTGTCAAACTTTTAGATGTTGTGTAACCTCCTAAGTGTTTTTGAAGGTACTTCAAAGTAATTTTAACTTGCCTTTTCTCCCCTGATTATGAATGGCATTGACCATCTTTTCACAACGTAAGAGCCATTTTTAGTTCCTTCCTGTGAACTGTCCATTTTCTTGGCTGATTTTTCTGTTAGAGTGGGTTTCTGTATTTATTTGGAGGAGTACCTTGTGTATTAAAGATAAGTCATTTGTGATGTGAGTTGAAAGTTTTTACCCAGTTTATTTTTATGCAGTCTTTTCTTTTTGGTTTCTGTGATTTGTCATGTTTAGAACACCAGCCCCAATTCAAAATATAAAATGGTCCTCTTGTGTTTCCTCTAGTGCTTATAGAAGAAATTTCATTTAAACCTGAAAATTTTCCTGATGTGAGGTATGAAGTAGGGATCAAAGTTAGTTTTTTTTCCCCCCAGAAATGGATATTTGGTTGTCTAGCACCGTTTAAATGAATTGATCATGTTTTTACAATTTTTACTGAAATACAGTTGGGTTACAATATTGTGGTGGTTTCAGGGGTACACAAAGTGATTCAGTTATACGATAATCCACTTTCTAGTCTCTTGCATTGTTCGATCTGTCAGTTCATTTGTCAATGTCACTTTAAGTGTTGTAGATTTATAATCTGTTTTCATATCTGATAAGGCAGCTTCCCACTCTTACCTCTTGCCCTTATTTTTACACTTTTCCCCCAAAATACTCCAATTATTTTTATTTTGCATTCTTCATTCATTCATTTATTCATCCAGTCAACAGAAACCTACTACTCACCAAGAACTGCCCTGGGCTTAGTGGGAGTAGGGGGGTGGTTCTTTAGTGATATCTTTATTTATGTATTTGTTGATGAACATTTAAATTGCTTAAATAACCAACCATATCTTGGTTATTGTAAATAGCACTGCTATGAACACAGGGGTACAGGCACCTTTTTGAATTAGTTCTGTCTGATATATGCCTACAAGTGGGGTTGTTGAATCATACGGCAACTCTATTTTTAGTTTTTTGTTTTTTTTTTTAGGAACCTCCATACTGTAGTCCATAATGGTTACACCAATTTATATTCCCACCAACAGTGTAGGAGGGGTCCCTTTCTCTACGGTCTCCAGTATTGGTTATTCGTAGACATTTGAATGATGGCCATATTGACCTATGAAGTAGTACCTCTCTGTAGTTTTGATTTGCATTTTTCTAATAATGAGCAATATTGAGCATCTTTTCCCTATTGGCCATCTGGGTGGACATTGTATGATTTCATCCATGGCTATTAAAGTATTTCTCTAAAACACAAAAAGGCTATTTAAAAAGATAACATCTGGGAATTCCCTGGTGGTCCAGTGGTGAAGACTTTGAGCTCTCACTGCCGAATGACCTGGGTTCAATCCCTAGTCGGGGGAACTAAGATCCCACAAAGCATGTGGTGTGGCCAAATAAATAAATAGGTAACTTCCACGTCATCCTCATTCCTGTGAAATGGTCCCACTAGCGTGGAAAGGGTTTAAGCAAAGCATGCTCCTTGCTCTGGGTCTCTCTGTTCTGCTTTTTCTGGCTTCTGTCCTTTGCTGTCTCCTCTCCTGGTCTGTCGGATATTTTCTCTCTCTCCGCCTCTCTGTGCTCAGCGGGTTAATCTCTTCCCTGTTCACTGTATTTTTCTGTCTGTATCCCTGTGTATCAGCCTCTGTCTCTCCCTGGCTGGGTGAACTGTCTCTCTGAACCCTGGCCTCCCGCCCTACCTGTCCCTGCAGCTCTTTGAAGGCATGAAGGCATTCAAAGGCGGGGACCAGCGCGTGCGCCTCTTCCGACCTTGGCTCAACATGGAACGGATGCTGCGCTCGGCCCTCCGCCTCTGCCTGCCGGTGAGGGGCCCCGGCCACCCGAGGAGGGTGGGGCAGGGGGGCATGGGTGGGGGCCAGGGTCGCGAGGGTCCCCTGACTCATCTTCATCCCGCCCAGGGTTTCGACAAAATTGAGTTACTGGAGTGCATCCGCCGGCTGGTGGAAGTGGACCAGGACTGGGTCCCCGGCAGCGTGGGCGCTAGCCTCTACGTGCGGCCCGTGTTGATCGGGAACGAGGTGGGCCGGCTCCGGGGGGCTGGGGAGCCACACTTGGGGGGCGGGTTGCCTTCCTGAAGGAGAAGGGCCGGGGACCCAGGCATGGATCAGGGAAGGGGCTGGGGGCCTGAATTCCTGGGTCCCTGATGCCCCCTTCCGCCCATCGCAGCCCTCGCTAGGTGTCGGCTACCCCACTCAAGCCCTCCTGTTCGTCATTCTCAGCCCGGTGGGCACCTACTTCTCTGGAGATTCCTTGAAACCTGTCTCCCTCCTGGCAGATCCATCATTCATCCGGGCCTGGGTGGGCGGGGTCGGCAACTTCAAGGTGGGAGGGTAAGTAGTGCCTTACCCACCCCTCGGGTCTGGTGCAAGGGGCATCAGAGACACAGGGTGTGTCTTTGGGTGTCCAGTGGAGAAACTCAGATTGGCTCCCAGGGAAGTCTCTAGAAATGAATTCACACTTAGCTCACTGGCCTCTCCTCCAGGTAGCCTCCCCTGAAAACCCAACCTCCATCAGCTCCTGTCATGCCCAGGGGCTCTGGCGTCCACCAGCCTGCCTGTGGACTTCCTGTGGGTTTATCTGTCTTGCCACGGGCCTCGGCTCAGCAGGGCACGGAGGGCTAGGATGCGGATAAGGCAGAGGGGGGACGTAGGGTGTGTTGGGACAGCAGGTGTGGCCCCAGCTGGGAGTTCATTCAGGTCCTTTCAAAACATATCTCGTGAGGTTTCCTGAGGGCCAACGTGAACTTCTCGATGTTCAAGCTGGTTTTAGAAAAGGCAGAACCAGAGATCAAATTGCCAACATCCACTGAATCATCGAAAAAGCAAGAGAGTTCCAGAAAAACATCTATTTCTGCTTTATTGACTATGCCAAAGCCTTTGATGTGTGGATCACAATAAACTGTGGAAAATTCTGAAATAGATGGGAAGACCAGACCATCTGACCTGCCTCTTGAGAAACCTATATGCAGGTCAGGAAGCAACAGTTAGAACTGCACATTGGAACAANTGAGAGTCCCTTGGACTGCAAGGAGATCCAACCAGTCCATCCTAAAGGAGATCAGTCCTGGGTGTTCATTGGAAGGACTGATGTTGAAGCTGAAACTTCAATTCTTTGACCACCTGATGTGAAAAGCTGACTTATTTGAAAAGATCCTGATGTTGGGAAAGATTGAAGGCGGGAGAGGAAGGGGACGACAGAGGATGAGATGGTTAGATGGTATCACCAACTCAATGGACATGAGTTTGAGTAAATTCCGGGAGTTGGTGATGGATAGGGAGGCCTGGCGTGGTGCAGTCCACGGGGTCACAAAGAGTCGGAAACAACTGAGCAACTGAACTGAACTGAACTGAACCCCTGTGCTGGGTGAAGCTGGGGACACAGATGAGTCTGATCTGGGTCCTGCCCTCCAGGGGCTCCCAGGCGGATGGGAGCCCCAGTATCCAGTATCCATGCTCTGATGGAGATGACCGGAACACAGGAAAGTCTTCACAGAGGAGGTCCGATGGGTAGGGTGGAGATGGTTTCCTGGATACAAAAGTGGTGTGTATGTGAGTTGCTTAGTCGTGTCTGACTCTTCACGACCCCATGGACTGTGGCTCACCAGGCTCCTCCATCCATGGAATTCTCTAGGCAAGAACACTGGTGTGGGTCAATTTCAAATCCTGGGAACATACTAGTGGAGGCAGTGGGGAGGGGCAGAGTCACCGAAGTCAGAGAAGAAAAATAAGTCTGGCTTTTGCAAAAGGCTTAACAGGTAGTCCCAGACCAGGCCCAGCCCTGAACACTGGACGAAAGGGCTGGGATCTTGTCCCAGAGGCAGTGGGGAGCCCTGGAAGGCTTGTGAGCAGATGAGGTGCGAGGTCAGCTCTGGGTGAGAGACAGTGAGTGTTAAATCAGGGCAAAATGGGACAGCATCGAGGTGGCCAGTTGATCGCGAGAGCCCAGAGGAGGCTTGAAACCCAGCCTGGAGCTTCAGTAAGCCTCTCAGAGGAGGTGACATCACAGGTGGTTTTGAAGGACCTCACAGCTGTTTGTGAGTGGGGCGGGAGCAGGATGATCGCTGGTCTGGAAAGACTTACATCAGGCCACGTTGGGGGAAGGCTGGGGGTCCCATGACCTGGTCCACCATGTTGCTGTCCTCCAGGAATTACGGGCCCACCGTGTTAGTACAGCAGGAGGCACAAAAGAAGGGCTGCGAGCAGGTCCTCTGGCTGTACGGGCCTGATCACGAGCTCACCGAGGTGGGCACCATGAACATCTTCGTCTTCTGGACCTATGAGGACGGGGGTGAGCCCACCCATGACCAACACCAGGCGGGGAGGAAGTGGGTGGGAGCAGAAATTCTTAGTGGCTGCAGGTCTTGGGGCTTGGCTGTGAGTGGGGAGGCTCCTAAGAGGATGGGATGGTGTTAGGTAACACGCCCCCTCCCCCTTCTCTTCCACCTTACCCAGTGCTGGAACTGGTGACCCCCCCACTGGATGGCATCATCCTACCTGGAGTAGTCCGACAGAGTCTGCTGGACCTGGCCCGGACCTGGGTGAGGGCATGCTGTCTTCGGGTGGCCAGAGTGATGGGGTACTGCTGTGTTGCAGGGCTGGAGGACTGAGCGGGGGTGGAGGGGACTGGGGCACAGTGGCACGTCTCTGTCTTTTTCACCATCCGCACGGAGGGAGCGGCAGGGTAGCACCCCGGGCTCAGAGGTTATTTGTGTCTCGCCCCGCAGGGTGAGTTCCGAGTGGTAGAGCGTAAGATCACTATGAAGGAGTTCCTGCGGGCGCTGGAGGATGGCCGGGTCCAAGAAGTCTTCGGTTCAGGCACCGCTTGCCAGATCTGCCCCGTGCACCAAATCCTGTACCAAGGCAAGGTGAGGAAGGGCCGGCTTGGGCCGTCAGGGAGAAGGTGGTGGGGGCCCGTCCTTACCACCCTTTCTTCCCCAGCATTTCCACATTCCCACTATGGAAAACGGGCCCCAGCTTATCCTCCGCTTCTACAAGGAACTGAAGGCGATCCAGGTGAGGTGCACCAGCTGGGACCTGGGCTGGATGCTCGGTTGCCCAAGAGAAGTTCCCGTCGCACGAGCCTCTGAACTGAGGCTTCCCCTCCCCCAACACCCACCATAGTCCCACCAGCTGAAAACGGCTCCTTCCATCGGCCTCTGGGCCTCCGATTGAGTTTGCGTTCCTCGAGGCCCTGTGGCCTAGAACACTTCTTGGGACTAAATGGGGCTTCTCTGTGAGCCTCGGGAGCCCTGGCTTGAGAAATTCCCTTCCCATGAGCCTCCGGGACCTGAAGCCAACATTCTGGTCACTGAGTTCCGAGTCCCAGGGATCCCCAGGAGCTGGCTTGAGAAATCTTGCTCCTACCAGCCTCTGGACTCTGCCCCGACTCTGTGACCTAAGAACATATCCTATCATAAGCCTCTGGAGGTACTTTCATTCGTCTGAACCGAGCTATCTTGCCTTTCCTGGCACTGGAACTGGAGCTCCTTTTCTGTAAGCTTCTGTAAATTCCTGAGTATCTGGACCGAGAACTATATCTCCTGCCTATCTAGGTTTTCTCAGCTGAAGAACCCCACCCACGTTATACTCCCAAAGCCATAAGGGCCTGACCCAGGCGTCTTGGCCCCTAGCCCCGCCACTCAGGCCTTGGGGACACGTACTCCCCGCTGCTCCGTGTTGTGGGTCAGCGATACACCTTGACCCCAAATCTGCATCTCCGTTTTCAGGCCAGATCTCCCGGTGCTGCAGTTGATTTTTTTTTTTCCCTAGCTGCGATTTTGAAATAAAATGCCAAAGAACAAGACATTAAGTTTCATCTTCAATGAAGCAATTCAGCGGCTGTAGCGTCTTAACCAGGAACCCACATGTTCAACCCACTTCATTTTCAAGGGCCCAGCAATCCAAACCCTCAAAGTCCTGGTGATTTCTCAGATGGGAAGATTTTTCCACTTGTCACAAATTGAGCTTAGCATCTTCCCTTGCTAAGCCGTGCCTCCCCCACCTCCCCATCTTGCAGGACAGCCCCACCGTACACTTCAGTCACTCTGCCAGACCCCTCTGCACTGTAACCTTCCCCCCAAAGCCCCCAAGTCCCCAGCCCTGTCCTCTTTCCCCAGACTCTGTCTTCTTGGCTTCAACTCAGATCTTGTCTCCTGCCTGGACCCTTGTCCTGGCCTCCAGTTTGACCTGGAAAGGGTCCTTCTATACTCCAAGCTGTCCCTGCAAGGCCAGGCATAACAGGCTACAGGTCTGGATTCTGGGTTCTAGCCTTCTTCTGTTATTTTATCAGTGTGTAACCTGGGGTGTGCCACCTGAGCTGTGATCCTGGGGGAGACCCTGTGGGACTATTGGGTAGACTCTGTTTGTGGCCTGTCCAGCAGCCATCAGCCTTGGCACCAGGATTCTGATCTGTTGAGATAACAGGTAACCATTGCCACACCCCCCTCATTCTCTTTTTCAATGGTTGTTCAAGGGAAGGCCATGGGCCAAGGGAATACAAGAGGAAATTTGCCTGGAGGCCTCTGGGAAAGCTGTCCTTCCTAAATTAAACACTCCAGAAGGGCTATGTCTGTTTTTCTTTCCTCTTATGTTCTGGCTTAGTTACAAGTGTGATGCTTGGAGCTGCTGCAGCCATTTCATGGCCAAGAGTGCCAGGCCTACTCTGAATATAACAGAGCATAAAGAAAGATCCTGGCTCCTCCAACTGGGAAGCCTCATATTTCTGGATTGTTTTGTTAAAAAAAAAAAAAAGTCAGAACAAAAAGCCATTTAAGTCACTTGTCAGATGGTTTATCTTTTGTTATTTGCAATTGTGTGTGTGTGAGAGAGAGAGAGAGGGAGAGAGGGAGAGAGGGAGAGAGACTTACAGTCAAAAACTTCTTTGCTTCCCTGGATCTTCTGTTTGGGAATCAGAAAGAACTGCTGATTCCCAATGAAGACCTAGGCCAGATTTTTTATCTTAGATTTGAATCCTAAGGGAATGATCAGGAAAGGGGTAATTAGCTGTCGCCTTTAAAAAAAAAACCCCAAAAAACTCAGAATTATGTTTTATTTGGTGGACAAAACTGAGGACTTAAGCCAAAGACATGGCATCTCAGATAATGAGAGATGCTCCAAAGAAGCAAAGCGTGGGGGAGCCAGGGTATATAGGAGTTTTTGCAATGCAAACTAGGTAGTCAAAACATCAAGAGATTACTGTGAAATATGGTGGTCCAGTGGCTAAGACTGTGCTCTCAATGCAGGGGCCCTGGGTTCCATCCCTGATCAGGGAACTAGATCCTGCATGCCACAATGAAGATTAAAAATCATGTGTGCCACAACTAAGACCCAGCACAGTCAAATAAATAAGTAAAAATAAATTTTAAAAAACAGATTGTATGGGTGCTTAGTCATGTCCAACTCTTTGTGACCCCATAGACTGTAGCCCACCAGGCTCGTCTGTCCATGGGATTTCCCAGGCAAGAATACTGGAGTGGGTTGCCACTTCCTTCTCCAGGGGAACTTCCTGACCCAGGGATCGAACCTGGGCATCCCATACTGCAGGCAGATGCTTTACCATCTGAGCCACCAGGGAAGCCTCCTCAGCCCCAGTGTTAATCCCATCGCCCACCACTTCAGAGTCCTCAAATATGGGTACCCATTTCACGCAAACTCCTACACATCCTTCAAAGCCCTGCCTAAGTGTCGCTTTCTTCGGGAAGCACTCCTAGATTTCTTCACCACCCCAAGAGCAAACCGCTCCTCCCACTCCCTAGGCTCCCAAGTACCTTGAACCATTCAGCACACTGCTCTAATCTCCTGCCCGCAAGCTCTCCTTCCCCACCACCTTGACGCCAGGGGCCATTTTCTGCTCATCTCTGTGACCTCAATACCAATGGCAGTGCTAAGCATCCAATGGTAGTGGTTTAGTCACCAAGTCGTGTCTGACTCTTGCGACCCCATGGACTGTAGCCCGCCAGGCTCCTCTGTCCATGGAATTTCCCAGGCAAGCATACTGGAGTGGGTTGCCATTTCCTCCTCCAGGGGATCTTCCGGACCCAGGGATAAAAGCATCCAATGAATGTGCAATAAAATCTATTGAGAGGATGAACGGTTTGTTCCGGGTTCGCTGCGGTCACAGCCCGCTCATTCGGGCCTGGGTCTCTGCTGTGGTGGTCCCCAGGTGGTCCTCCCCACAGGACCCCCCTCCCACCGCTGCCCACATATGGAGGCCCTGCCGGCTGGGGCTAGGCCAAGGCTGGGGGAGGCAGGACAGGATGTGAGCCCCCGGGGTGGAAGGTCAGCAGGGCCTGTTCTCATGCTCTCTGGCTGAGGAGCTGTTCTCCATCTGTCGGGGCCAGCTGCCGGGGCCGGGGCCCCGAGGAGACACAGCAGGAGAGAGGGCGATCGGGGGAGGCGCTCGGGGAAGCCCACAGTGACCGAGGAGAGAGAGGAAAAACAGGCACGCGGTGTTATTGTTACGGAACCATTAAATACAACTTATAAACAAGCCAGGACGGCGTTGGGTGGCGGGGAGACGGAGCNAAATGAAGATCACAGTACCTACCTATTAAGGCCATGTCGGTGTTGTTTAGTCACTAAGTCATGTCTGGCTCTTTTGAGATCCAATGGACTGTAGCCCGCCAGGCTCCTCTTCTTTGGAAAAGACCCTGATGCTGGGAAAGATTGAGGGCAGAAGGAGAAGAGGATCACAGAGGATAAGATGGTTGGATGGCATCACTGATGCAAACGACAAGAATTTGGGCAAATCCTAGAGATGGTAAGGGTCAGGGAAGCCTGGATGCCACAGTCCGTGGGGTCACAGAATGGGACACGACTTGGTGACTGACCAACAACATAAACAATGTTTAGGGGACTGTAGATCTTAATGGCTTAAAAACTTGTGTGTGTGTGGTTTTTTTTTTTCAAAATATTATGTCATCTTCATGCTTAAGGATGTTCTTCATTAGAAAATAATAAATATACACTAAGTGGAAAGAGCAAAATGGGAATTTTCATTTAGTTTATTCAGAATTCTGAAAAGTTCACCCAAACTCCTTGGATTAATATATAATAAAACCATTTTGAGCTTCCCTGGTTGTCCAGTGGTTAAGGCTCCATGCTTCCACTGCAGCCAGGGCAGATTCCATCCCGGTTGGGGAGCTAAGATCCTACATGCTGCATGATGTGGCAAAAAAAACAAACCAAACCCCTTTTGTAAGTTCAATTGTCTGCAGTTGTAAATACCTGTTTCACTAATCATGTTCAATAATCATACTTTTGTATACAAATATTTTCATTGGTTTCTAAAAAACAATAAGTTAAAAAAATCAGATTTAGTCCAACTGTGAATGCTAAACTCTAGTTCTAAGTGATGAAAAGATCAGAGAAACTTATAAACATCACTTATGTTCTATGTAGGAATATCCAGTAACATATGAAAATAGTGATATAAATAAATAAACAAGACAAAATAATGAAGAATAAGATTAAACTGAGGAAAAGAAAACCTGTATTGAAAGGAAATCTCAGCTAAAAGTAACCATCATTGAGCGATCCGGCCTCAGGCGCCGCAGGAAGTGCCTCTGGCGCCATCTGGCGGCCAATGGTAGGTAGGATAAAGTCTCAAAGGCGGAAGGAAGAGCAGAGAGTCCAAACAAAATTTCAGTAGTTTCTAATGTGATTGGTTAAAAACAATTTTATTGCATTATAAAAATTTACAAACATCTGGGGGGACACTTTTTGATAAGGTTCCTTTTCGGAGATGTGTAGAAAACACTGGTTTGGGTTGGGAAGGAAAGGATTGAGAGTTTGGGGTGAGCTATTATACATATGATGGATAAACAACAAGGCCTTATTGCATAGCACAGGGAACTATACTCACGATCCTGTAATAAACCATAATGCAAAAGAATATGAAAAGAATATATATATGTGTGTAACCAAATCACTGTTCAGTACAGCAGAAATTCACACAACATTGTAAATCAACTCTACTTTAATGAAATTAACAACAACAACAGAAAAGAAACACTGGCTTGGGTGTTTAAGAAGGACTGTCATCAGACATCATACTCAATGATGAAAGACTGAAAGCCTTCCTTCTAAGGTCAGGAGCAAGAAATGATGCTGCCTTCGCATCTTCCAGTCAAAAATGTAGCCAAAGTTCTATTCAGAGCAGTCAAGCTGGAAAAAAATGAAAGGCGGTTAAGTTGCAAAGTTGTAAGATTATCTTTATTTGCAGATAACATGATATGCAGATACATAGAAAATGCTAAAGGGGACGCCCCTGGTGGGAAGTCTCTGGTCAAGATTTCCCCAACAACAACTAAAGAATCCACACTAAAAACCTGTTATGAGTGTACTATAGCCCTCCAGACTCCTCTGTCCATGGAATTTTCCAGGCAAGAATACTGGAGTGTGTTGTTATTTCTTACTCCAAGGGATCTTCCAATCCAGGGATTGAACCAGCGTCTCTTGCATCTGCTGCATTAGTAGGCAGTTTCTTTACCATTGTGCCACGTAAGGGGAAGATGTCCTGAATTCATGGGTTGGAAGGCAATGTTATTAAGATGGCAATACTGAGACTTCTGTGG